TGCACAGATGGTCTAAATACTTGTAATTTTTAGTGTGCTTGGATTTCAACACAATTTACTTTTCTGCAGAAGATTAAGAAAGTAAAAATTGTTCTATCCCATTAAATCAGGTTATTAAGGGTAATGGTAAAATATAATTAAAGCGAGTTTTGTCACTTGATAAGTCTCACTTTTCATCATGATAGTATGTTGCAATTCTGTTCTCAGTCAGTTTCTCCAACTCTTATTTTCCAGGTCAGAGTTACATGGGAACCAATATTGCCCAAGACAATGGCAGAAAAAGACGGGGGAGTTTCATATACTATAAGCCATCAACAGTGAAGAGTTAAATGCAGTTATCACTGACAAAGAGGACAGTTAAAAGAGAAATTTTTAAAAAATCATGTTTGTGGTTTTTAATATTTAAACTAAAATTAGAAGCATTTCCTTATTTTAATAGACACTGGAATTATGGCATTGTTTGAGCATGCAAGGTGTGGTGGGTTCATCTTAGGTGAATTCCAGCTGCCCATCAAGCTGCTCAATCACCTCTTTCTCTACAGGACAAGGGCAGGAGGAGAAAACATGGGAAAAAAACCCCTTCAGGTCAACATAAAGGCACTTCCATAAAAGCAAGAGCAAAAGCTGCCCATGTAATTAACGGAAGACAAAATATTCTCAACTTCCAATCAGCAGACAACATTCAGTCACCTTCCAGGAAGAAGGGTTTCAGACAAATGTCACAATAATGAAYACTGCTCAGCAGTAGCCAAAACACTGGTGAGCTATCCACACCTTTCTAGCTGCCAATACACAGCCCAGCCCTGCGAGGGCTGCTGTGGGGATACTTAACTCCATCCCAGTCAGCCCAAATATGAAGGGATAACCAATCCAATTACTGGAACTAAGTGAAATGTGATAGTTGGCTGAATAAAGTTTTTTCATTACTTACTTCTCCACTGCATTGCAAAAACCAACTGTGCTTTCATTACTTTCTTGATTTGCTTCAATCAGCTGGATAGACCAAACTGCAGCCTAAAAATACAAAAAAAGACCCCAGAAGAAATAGAGCTTAGTTATTTAGATATCAGAAGCAAAAAGACCGTAAAGCTAACCTTGCATTTTGTTCCAGGAGACCTTATCATTTCTCCCCTGACTWGATGGAGATCCAAATAAACACAAATGACCCCATTTTGGCTGCACTTAAAATGCTTTCTGAAGTCACAAAGCATCAGCTGCCCTGGGTAGCAACTGCTTTTCCCCTCCATGCAGACCACGAGGAACTTCAGACAAACCTTTCACAATTCACCTAGTGCCAAAGTACAGATAACTCCAAATGCAGATATTTAGCTTATGACAGGGAAAGAGGACAAACTGAAGCATTATGTTTCAGTTTGTTTTAATCCTTATTTTCTCTCTTTCTGCCCTGGCAGGAAGCTCAGCATCCCCTCAAAGTCCATAAACCTGTCAGGTAAGTCCCTAAGACAGATAAGAGGGAGTCAGTGGACTCTACTGAACATTAAAAATAATTTCTGTAACTTGGAGATCAGAGGTCTTAGCCACAACTTTGGGTCAAGCATCCTTTTTTCTGTTTGCCTTAAGTACTCTTCAGCCAGAACATTACCTTCAGGAAAGAACTTAATACTCTTAAATCTGCAAGCCCTTTCTACTGTTGCAGGTAGAGACATAACAAGGCTTAACTGTRTAAGAGCTTTTAAACCCCTTCAGAAAGAGAACTGAAATGTCACAGAAGAGAAAACTAAGATGTGGCAAAAGGTTTATTTTATAATTTTAGTAATAATTTATATAGCAGTATGCAAATTTATAAAAAATAAGGATAACTAATAAACAGAATTTAAGATTCTTTTTGGCTGGACAAGGAAGTGAACTATGCGTGAAAAGATACAGGCTGGAAAATTTTAGTTACAGTTTAAAAGATGGAATGATATAAAAAATGACAGATCTGCTGGGAGATGGCTGGGGGGAAATCACAACGGCAAAACTAAAAACTCAAAGGTCAGAAATCTTACACTGATATAATGAGACCCAAAACTGATGGTATGTAGTATTTTCGTTAACCAYAATACCACAAACATTAGGAGAGTGAAATTTAAAGATACAAGGGGTCATCATCAATAGAGGGGAAAATTGAAATTGTCTGGTGTGAAAAACAATGGGTAATCTTGAGGGTGTAAATAAGAAAGTAAAATTAAATTTAGCAATCAAAATCAGTAGTCCATAATTCCTTGGTTCCAAAAACTGCTGAAAAGGGTCCTTCAAAATCCAATGAAAATATAACACCTCTACTGGTTCATTGTTTCCATTTTGGTTAGGCACCTACCTTACACTTTGCCTCATCAGGCAGTAGTAAGAACCTCTAAAGGACGTTCTCTATTCAAAAATTATAAGTGATTTGGTAACAGTAATGGCCTCACAGAATTACCTAGTCATTTAAAAAACCCCACAAAACCAAAGGCTCCTTTTTCACCTGCAGCTTTGTCCTTGCAAGGCAGGTTCAGTGCCCTTGAAAAAGTACACAGAAAAAGAGAAATAGCCAATAAGTGAAAAGCTAAGGAAAATACTCCACAGGTAAGAAAAGGTGAGGCTGGGACACATTAAATGAGGCCAAAGCTATTAAAMGAGCAAAACCACAGCTGTGAGCTAAGGAAGCAGGAACAGAAAGGAATTGAGCAAGAAGAGGGACGAGACTTGGAATGCATGATTGGGCACAAGGACATGGGTATGAATCCTCAAAAGTCCATGGCTTGAAGAAGAATATGTTTAAATAATTACTRAAGGATGGGAAAGAGAAGCCTGACAGACTGAAGCTGGATCCTCCCCTGCCAGACACGGAAGTAACTCAGGAGTCCTCTGCTTTTTTGCACCTTTGCTGGCAGCATCCCTGAGTGATTCCTAATGACAAACAAGAATCCAGCCTAGTAACAGTCTACACATCAGGAATACACCATTGCCAGGTCACTCAAATTCATTCCAGTGGCAGAGGTATACAAAGTAGAGAAATAGCTCCAGCTCMATTGATGAATCATAGGGATGAAAGRTTTAGCTTGGYCATGTCTTCTTTGCACATGTCCAGAAACCTTTCTTTCTTGTTCTAGCATAAAAAGGTAAAATTTAATTACACGATCACATTATTGCACTTTATTTTTCAATAGGACTTGAGTCTCCATGCACCACAAGTATCTTAAAGAGCAGTGAATGAGACAGAACTGCATATGGAGAGAACTAAAAACAACAGGGAGGAAGGAACAGAATGCATCCCTTGATGACTGGCTTCTTTTTTCATGCACAGACTTCTGATATTATGTAAATCAAGTCACCTAAACCATCCTTCCAAATTTGAACAYTAATAGTGTGTTTCTCATTTCTGGAGCATCCTAAACAAAATTATGACATTTGGTCTGAGGAGGGACTTGGGTGAAGAAGTGAGTCTTATTAGTTACTCTGAAAACCTTAGAATCTATAATTAGATTTTAAATATCATAGGTGGATTAGCTAAATATATTAGACAATTTTTAGGTTTTATCTCAGTTTTGTTTCTAATATGGAAAAAATGACATCTCCTTTCACTGGGATGTTATGAAGAAAGTTTTCTTTACTATTTTTGAACATCTGACCTGTAAGGACAAGGCCAGAGAAAACAGTTTCCTCTGATACATGGGGCATATTTTGATTAGCACGTATTAAATAAAGCCCAGGGCCAGGCAAGTGCATCCAAGAGCTAAGGATCAGAATAACATTATGATTTCAGCATTGTGTAGGTTTCATCTTGCCTGCCTCTGACCCATCTCAATTMTAATCTTCATGTTTCATCATCCTCTGTATTTCACTCTGCAGTCTTGTTTCTCACCTCCTGCTATCTGGATGCATCATTTACTTGTTCTGGACCTTACAAATCCGACCTCTGCTCATTCTTTTGCTGTGCTGTTCCACTTTTCCAGCTCTTCTGACTGTCTTACTTGGCATCAGGTTTGTCATCCTGCAGTGCTTGTCTTTTCCAAAACTCTCAGCCCATCAGCCTGAGTAACTGCTTTACAGGCCTTTTCTGCTCTTCCCTTTCTCAAGTTTCTTCCACTCTTATTTTCCCTTATCATCCCAAGGTTCAGCTGCCAGCCCCTTGCCTTGGCTCTTTTTCTACCCTGACATGGCTGTTTTGCCCTCAAGGAACTCCTGTGACCACACTGATTTTTATGCTACAAATCAATTCACTCCTCTCTCCCATTTCTCCCTCTTCGAGCTAAACAGCTCAAATACTTCCCTGACTTAATCAAATCCTCCCACACATTCGATTGTAGTCGCCCTTGACTCACTCAGCTCTTCTCTTCCCTCCCCTATAATTCTCTCCTCCTCCGTCACAGAAGCATTTGTGCCTGTTCTYAAATGCTTGCTTCCTCTAGCACCTCTTCTTCCCATCCCATGATTTAATCTCCTCCTGCTCATTTGTATCCCACTATTTTCTGCATTTCTCCTGAGAAGGCTTGTTCTTTTCATCATCATGTCAGCATGCTTTAGTTTTCCTATCATGAGCAAAAAGCAACAACAGCCTTTTGTCTCTCCACCTATTCTTCCCCTCCTCTTTTGTATTCATCACTGAAATTCTAAAATGCTGTGCACAGGATTAGTCTTAAGAGTTCTTGTCCTCAGATATATTTCCCCCTGCTGCCTTCCCATCTGTCTGGGCCTGCATATGTTTACTTTTATAGTTCTCCTTATTCAGAGACATAGAAACAAGTCAATCAAGTGTCTCTTCCCCTTTGCTTTATGATACTGTGATCACTGGGAGTTAAAAGCAGAAGGTGAACCTAAACTGTCTTTTAGTATTCATCGTGCAGAGATATCCTGTGGGCTATTTCAGGATTCCTGTAATGATTCAGAATRCTAACAGGGACTGGAGGAAAAGGATGATTTACCATTTTCTTTTCCCTTCTCCATATCAGGATTTTGAAAGAAAGAAAATGAGGACAGATAGAACATCACAGAGAGTCATGGGAGTCCCATAAGACATGGTTATTAAAAACGGCAAAATCACGAACAGAGCTATGAACACCTGATGAAGGAGGAAAAAAGATAAAGGATTTGCCTCAGACAGACAGCTACAAGACAGGGTGTGTGTTGTAGAATCCAGCTTCCACAGTTAGAGTAGATGTGTCTATTTTTAGRAAATAATTATATATGCACACGTAAGTGCATGCAGAACATGGTGGAGGCAGGATGGGCTATGTTCCATCTCTCAGGATCAGGATATGTCAGCCAGACTAGACACAGAGACAATAACTGTCTCAACAATTAAAAAAAACCAAGCAGATTCAACATAATGTATTGTTATTTTGAATCTCAGGTTTCATATCAGACCATAAAGATTTGTCATCTTATCTTTCAAACACAACTTACTGTACATTTCTGTACTTATCCTTCTGTGATAGTTTTATGGTTCAGTGAGCCATAAAATGAGCCTACTGGAGCATTCTAGACCATAATCTAGATTCTCTTCTGGTATAAAATGCTTTTRCTTCCCCTGAGGCATAAATGTTTTATTTTTCATAAGGTCTTTAAATTAAGTGCTTCTAATCCATGTTGCAACAACGTGAGTGAATACACAAAGTACAAGGACACAAACGAGARCAAAAAACTTTAAGCACTGTTAAAATAAGCAAATTTAAATACCTCTCTGTCATGGCCAGAGCCCTGGGACCAGGTAGGTCCTATGTGGCATCTTCTGGAAGTGTTGGTTGGAGAAGCTTCCCCATTTCCACCTTCTTCTCTCACTTTTTGTCCAAATGGATAATTGTCTAAGAAAACAGGATTTGGAGCATCCAGATGGTCAAAGCCTATCTGAAACTCTAGGCTTGTGTTGCCTCTTTCCACATTTGAACTAAACACGTTGGTGACTGAATTTACACTGTTACTTCCATGTAGTTTTCTTTCATGACTGTAGGGGCAGGGATCCACTACAGAGAAGTTTCTGCAATCAGGTATTAAAGAAGATCTGAAGCCCACCAYTGGTGACACTGTGCCTTGTTGCCAGTGAGAGACTGGATTTTCACGGTAAAATTCTCCATAAGCAACGAGAGGCTGACCATAAAGATGATGGTCAGGAACATTCTGACTGAAAAGATGTGATGGGTAGAACATTTCTTCATGATGATGTGAATGTGATGAGCCATAAAAATAAAATTCATTGTTGACTTCATCAACTATTCGATCAAATCCCAGAGGGATCTCTCCATCAGAACCAGAATGGTACATTGGATAAGGTGCTTGGTGCCCAGGCTGTCCTTCACAGAATTCACTGTGTGAGAAAGGCACCCTCCCAAAGTGTGACATAGCAGACTGTTCACTTCAGTCCTTTTGGTCCTCAGTAAAGTCTCATTATAGTTCCAAGGTCACAAGAGTAATGTTCAGAACTGGAGCTAGATACCCCTGAAATGAAGCAGAATGGAAGTTAAACCCCAAAATATCTAATACAATGAAAGCAGTACACCGCTTTGGTCTTTTTTGCTTTAGAGCTTTCTCCAGAGAGAAAAATTAATTTATTCATTTAAATCCCTTTATTCCAGAGAAATATTTTCCTAATGTGGAGCTTGATTATTCTTTAGTTTGATCTTTATTTCCAGACATAATATTATTATTACAGTTGTAATAATAATAACAAATTCCTTTACCATTATTATTATCCTTGACTCCTAAATAAAAGCAAGAGGATGCCTGCAACAACTCTATACTTGCATAGCACACAATGCAGGAATATAAATCAGGCAGTTAGGACAGATTTTTATTAATGGTTGTCCTCTTTTCTGTGCCTCAAATTTCTTCATATCTTACCAYTTTTTATCTTAGTTTCATCAGGTGAAGAAATTTAAGCCAAATAACATAGAAGACATGGATATCCCATCAGTATTCAAAACATTACATCCCAAAAGCTAGGATATGGTTTGTATAAAAGGAAAAAAAAAAAAAGATAAATTAATTTCAGCCTTTTTTTTTGTTTCTTTGTTTTACAAAAGGTATTCACCTTTAAAGACTGAGGCTGGACTCTTTTTTAGTAAAYGAATAGGCAAAGGCATGAGCTTCAGCAGCTCCATCATTCATGTTCCTAGCAAACTTCCTGATCTGATTTTGGCATGTGCCAAGTACTCCTATGGTTCAGATGGGCAGCATGCACTAGAAACTGCTGTCAGTAGGCAGAGAGAATATGTATTTTTAGGAAGGGAGCTTAGTTCTACAACCAAAGTTTATTCTGGGCCATTTGCCCTCAAGGCCTTGGCCTGTTTCATTTACTGATACAGAYRTAGCCTAAAAATCACAAATGACATACAACAGCAATACTGCATGCAGCACACAGTTGTGCTGGAGTACTTTATCACATAAAAGGAATAGAAACATCTAATTTAATAATTCAATAAAAATGTATTCCCAAGCAGAAAAAAAAGAAAAAGCTATAGAGACAAAAAGTGTGCTCAGAAATTGCTACAGCTCAGCTCCACAAATACCTTTTCCATTAACTCCCCAAGATACTGTATTAGTTCAGATAATAGCACCTTGCAATGGAAATCTGTGTTACAAAAGAAGACATTGATCCCAATTTTATTTATTTTTGTTCGTTTTAAGTCAAACTCTAGGTGACATAACTTCTACCATCCTTAGTGTGGAATGAGAAGTGAAATGAAAACAAACAGGTTGAAATGAAATCTGCAACTCAGAGGCTGAACTACACTTTCAAACACTCCACTTGGTAATTCCATGTGTTGCATGCTTTGCTTTGCTTTAGCTATGATGACAAACACCACATTTATGAAATTACACTAGGCCAGATAACCAAAATGATGCATAGCACTTTCAATGGTGATCAAGACTGAAAATATAGTTTTGCACTCTTCTCTCAGAATGAATCAGAAAGTTCACTATGTTTTTAGATAAAGAAGACACCATTTAAAAAAAGAGCATAACAACAGGAGTTTCTTGTATGAAATTGTTCTCATTTACAACTTTCTCTGTTTTTCATTTCTACAGCAGGTAAATAAAAGAAAGAAAACAAGAAAGAAAATGACATAGCCATTACATCAAGAAGTATAATGTCTTTTACTCTTTTTTAACCCATCCTAAATATTCGAATGTTTCAGRAAAAAATAGAAGATAAAATAATGACATCTCCCTCCAGTCCCATCTTCCTTAAAATCTTCTCTACCTGGAATCCTATAAAGCATAGAAAATTCAGTACTTTTTATGCTCTTTCAGCTGTTTCTAAAATATTTTCCTTTCATTTGAAACAAATTCTATTTATGATGACGCAGAAATATCKAACCTTGCTCATTCACCACGAAGGCTTTCTGTAATCTGCACAGACAAATATTCACACACAGAGCCCACCTCCATCTATCTGTCCATCAGTGCTTATCTCCTGCACTCTCCATACTGTCCAGAAGTATTATTTTTCTTGGGGAAAAACACACAGTTCAGCTGCAGTGCCAAAGGCTGCTCTGTGCATGGTGCCCCCGTTCTTCTGGCTGGGCTGGGAAGCTCACCTGGATCAGGGCACAGGGAGGGCCTGGCAGGGAGCAGACACTGGTACAGCACTGTTGGAACATGGTGATCCTTTKATAGAGGTTTGCATTTAAAACTGACCCCGAGACTGCAAACTCAGTGTGCCATGGTGCAAATCTTGGTGGTGTAAATTGTGCTAGTTTGGTTAGAACATCCAGGATCTATATCTGGGCCAACTGATCCTTCTCAAAGCAGCATACAAAAAACAGGGAAGGATCTGGCTCTTTCACAGCCACTATTACACCTTCTGAATCTTGCCAAGTGCATTGATAAAACAATATCACTAAGGAGACAAAAGTTCTATGCATTTTTTATTTATAAAACACCTAAGGTTTTAGGTTAATTTTCTTTGCCTTCTGGTTTCTCAATTCACATTGAATTTCTGAGGGGTTGGCTTTTTTTTCCTAAAGCTATGAAGCCCTCCTTGTCGTTCTGAATGACAGCTGTATTTTCACATTATCACGTGGTTCTGGGATCAGGGGTTTTAAGGGAGAATCCCAAGCAATACTGTAAAGTATACTCTACAAATCAAGAGACAGCATCACAACATTGCAAGAACTGTCCAAGCACGTGGCAATACTTCCCACACCTGGGCATGCACGTGAATGCTCACATAAAAYCTTGGAGCACTGCAGGCTCAATTTTCCCTTTTACCAGCTCTCAGGGGGAGATGATTGGGCCACTTGCTAAGCAGTAAGAATATTTATTGCAAATCCTTACCTGAAACACAATTTGTTAGAAGGATATACAGCCTCCTGTCCCTTCCTGCTCACAGACATTTTCAGGTGACCTATGTGCTTTCAGTATCAAGGAGGCGTAACTTTTTCGTCAGGAGCTTTCCTTCCTGCTTTACCGGTTTATGGCAGTGATGATTCTTTTCCCAACTCATCCCTCAGGGAAAATTCAAGCTGCAGTAACAATAAAAAAGTAACACCTTATCTGTTCACTTTCTCAATTTAGAAACCAAACCATTTTTTTTTTTAAAATATATATAGTGGTAGATTATCTCACACTTTCAGTGCAAGTTTCCAACATGCTTAAAATAACAAATTCATTTAGGGAAAGATTTGCCTCTTAGGGAGATTTCTGCACAAGAACAGGATTCAAAACTTTTACTCTACTCCATCTTCACACAGCTTCCATCTCCACACTCTGAAAGAAGCTCCCAGCGCCAGTCACAGGGGAGGGGGACAATACAAACCTCTGATGGCAGAGTGGCTCCCTGGCTTTGGCTCCTCAGTGTGCAGAGCTGGGATAGCACAATGGTGGAAGAACCTCCCTTMTGCTGGGATATTTCCCAGGAACCAGTGGGGACTTGGCTCTCTGCAAAGGGCCTGAGGAGCTGCAGTAAACACAGCGCTGGCCATGTCCATCTTCTGAGACCTCACAGAGCCCAGGACCTGCCATAAAAGGGAGCAGCAGAGGCAGCTCCAGACACAGCACAGAGGGAGTTCCCTCAGGGACCATTTTCCTTCACACTTCATACCATTCCTTAAAAAGTTATAAATTGCTCCAYTGAAGTGGCTATTCAGAATTCAAACAAAATCCCATCCCTACTCTACTCCAAAGGCTGTAACAGGCAAGAAAATACCCTTAAAAGCAGTGAGGGACTGTTAGCAAAACAATATTTCAGTTATAAAAAGCCATGCAATGGCTGAACAGATTAGGGTAAAGCATATAAAGTTAATAATTAATATCAGATATCTTATATCTGATAAACTGAAGKAATAATTTGATAAAATGCTGCGGGAACAAAAGCACTGGCCTTTCAAGCATAAAACCTGTCAATGATGTCATTGTGATTTAAAAGCAGTTAGACAAGGACAAAACTTATTTCAGTTGGTGAAAGGTGATGCATTTGTTGTCATATATTCTCCAGCCCTTAAAATGTCAACTTGCTCCACAAGCTATTTGGTGGCATTTGTGCTGTACTGTACTCATTTCCAGTGATTACTGTGAAGTGAACCTGAGAGAGAGGAACACACCAATTTTAGGAGCTGCCGTTTCAGAGTTTATGGCAGTGTGGTGCTGCTTCACCTCATGGCAATTGGACACAGCTAAAGGAGGAGGATTGAAAAAAAAAAAAAAAAAAACACAAACCAGGAAATACGCATGGGAAGAGCTCGTGTTCCCAGGCACACACAGAAGGCTACATGCATAATACAGTCTGAGCTGGGATCCCTCCATCTCTTCCCTATGGTGATTTCTAGGAGAAGGCTATGAACGTTTCTTTTTGAGAAACTCCAGACATTTTCAGAATTTTACCAGGCTTTTAGGATGGCCACTATTTTTTTTTCTGTTTCCTGCTACCCATTAAAGGAGCAGACAGGGAACTGCTGAGTCACTTTCTACCCTAATTCCTCCTAGAATTGTCTCCTCCCCTTTTGCTGGCATGTGGGACAAAAACTCCAGAGACAAAAACTAGACAATCCCTGGGATGTTCCCTTTTCTCCTGTTAGACATTCTCGCTGCTCCACCACCTGGCAGGAGCCACAGCTCACTCGGATTGAGGAAGAACCAGGGATTTGTGCTCAGGGTTGATATAGAGCTGCAGGGAAAGAGCTGGCAAAATAATCACTCCACACCCCCCGAAATGAAACACAGTATCTTCAGCAGGTTTTTACTCAMAGTGTTGCTTCACAGGCAGTTTGGAGCTTTCTGAAATAGCACTCTTGCGTTTGAAGCCTGGAGGCTTCGAGTAATAATAGGCTTGCAAAGGGAAAGCAGCAAAGTGTTTTAGCAATCCGTGGGGATGGAAAACTGGCTAAACAGAGCCAGTGAGGAAACTGCTCCATTTCATAACAGAGCCATCCTTCTGTGCTACTATTCTCCAGTGCCATCTACYGTCATTTCCCCAAAATTGTCAGGCAGGGAACAGAGATCACCGTGTTGAGCACAGTGCCTACGAAGCTTTACGTCTGGCTACAGGGAACATCATCTTATCTACCTTTATCACTGGGAAACAAGGTCCCAGCCAGAAGGCTGCTTTTAATAGGAAAGATTCATGATTTTTGAGGTCTTTCTTGAAAAGGGTGAGCTTCTACTTCCTCTTCATCAGTGCTCTGAAGTACTGCTGTACCAATGATGACAAAATATCAGCAAAACTGCATAGATACATCAGGGTTTTTCAATGTGCAGACAAAAATAAATGTCAAGATGTTGTGTTTAAGCAGCGGATGAATAAGAATACTGGTTTAAAAATATATTTTAAAAAAAGGCTGTTTTGTGGCCCTTGTTTTTTTTTCTCACAAGTTTCGCCCAGTAGGGGCTGTGCCTTCCTACCTGTTTAGCAAAACCCAGCAGAGTAGATGCTGCTGGGCAAAGAAAATAAAAGTTGCAACAGACACAATACAGTGGTTGAGTCATTGCAAATGATTCATCAGCAAAGGAGACATTTGTTGCGAAGGGCAAGAAGGACTTTTCAATTCTGAAAATACTCCTCACCCTCCATTTACTCACACGCAACAAGTAAGGGAAAGGACAGAGAGGAAAGAGGGGGCGGGGGGCWAAGTTTCACTTTTCTGAGAAAAACAAATTGAAAAAAAAAATTGTTTTACATAGCAAACATTTTCACAGGCTCTGCTGACACCTACATCTAGTATACAAAGTTACTAAGTTACCAACACCCTCCCGAGGTTTGAAATAGGCTGTTGTGAAAGATCAACCTCCACAGCCTGCACGCACTGCAAAACGAGCTGGGACTAAATGTAGACTACAGAATTTAATCTCTCCTTTTATTTGAACATTGTTTGTACTTTGATCCTATGAAACGAACAGCGCCCTTCAGCAGAGAACAGAGTTGTTCCTGGCAGAAACAATTATGCTGGCTTTAAAAAATCAAATTACGGAAAAAAATAGGTGTTGAAATGGCAAACAGTCTTATTAAAATATACAGTTAAAATAAGACAAACAGGCATTTTTTTACACATACACACACACTCAGATACATAAATTTATATATGGGTGTCTAAATATACATCTGTATGCATACAAGCATATATATGGGTAGCCTAAAATAGGTGTATGCATACAAATGCCTATTAAATGCTAAATGRCCCAAGAAAAGACCTTAAATGATTCAGAAAAGAAGTCAAGCCACAAGCTTCAGGTGAAAGTCAAACACCCCAAAGCTGAGGAGTGCTTAAAGCCAAAGCTCTTGCTCATAAAGGCTTCATAAATTTAACTTTGTGTTGTTTTCTTCCATTTCTCTTACCTTCTCTGATTTTCCCACTGTTTTCTTATGCCGTTCTTTTCATCCTTCCAGTCCAGTGTGTCTGCTCGATGGCTTTCTGGGAAATTCACTTTGTCATTTTGGTGTATTCAATAGGGTTTGTTGACCTTCCAGAAGCTGTTCACACCGAAGACTGTACAAACATAAACSCAGCCTTGTGATACTGGCACCCTGTTAAGATAAGCTCCCTAGCCATGATAGCAGGCTTTCCCTATGGAAAATTTAGTGAGCTGGTTCATCACTGCTCTCCAGACCCCCTTGCACTGCAGTTTGTGGTGTCAGAGCCTCCTACAAGGCTGCCAGAGCAGGAGAGCAAAGAGCCCCCCAAAGGTCAGAGCTCAACCACTCTCTCTGTCTCTATTACCAAAGAAAACCTATGAACAACACTTAAAGCATAAAAATAAAGGTTAAGGGAGGTGACTCCCCCTCTGCCCTGCTCTGGTGAGACCCCCACCTGCAGTGTTGCATCCAGCTCTGGGTCCCAGCTCAGGAAGGACACGGAGCTGCTGGAGGGAGTTCAGAGTGATCAGAGGGATGGAGCACCTCTGCTCTGAGGAAAGGCTGAAAAAAATCCACCTGCAGAAGAAAGAAAAGGCTGGGGTGACCCAACTGTGGTGTTCCAGTACCTGAAGGGAGCCTACAAGAAAGACAAGGATAAACTTTTTGCAAGGCCATGTACTTTTTGCAAGGCCATGTAGTGACAGGTTAAGGGGGAATGGCTTCTAAACGACAAAGAGTACGTTTGCATTAGATATCATGAAGAAATTCTTTACCGTGACGGTGGTGAGGCTGTGGAACAGGTTGTCCAGAGAACGTGAGTGCCCCAACCTTGGAAATGTTCAAGGGCAGRTTGGATGGGGCTCTGAGCAACCTGGGACAGTGGAAAGTCCATGGCAGGGAGGTTGGAACAAAATGATCTTTAAGGTTCCTTCCAAACCAAACCATTCTATGATAGAGACCTCAGAATGAGTCTAAAAAACAGCTTAAGCCAAGGAATAGCTCACTTAGACAATATAAATCTTGTCTCTATTYGCAATATTGCACATACTGCAGTATTACAGCAGTTTAAATAATACATTATTTCAGAATTTTTCCTGAATTTCTTGCACATGGTCAGATGTGCATGGTCTTAGATCTTTCTTCTGACTTCAATTTTACTGTCATAATTGCTTACAGTTGAAACTGTTGCTTAAAAAAATAAAAATAAAAAAAAACCAGCCCAACCATATGGCTTTTATAAAAAAAAAATGTTTGTGGGTGTATATATAATTTTTAAACCAACTGAACAGCATTCCTTATATGCAATTCAGGATATAAAGCATCTGCTTATATAGCTAATTTGGCTGCATACTTAGGTTGCCTATACATGTCAGCAAAGCGTTCATTATTCTTTTCATTAAGACTTTACCTGAAGCGTGAAAGCCAACAATAATTTACTTAAGTTTTCACATAAATAATGCAAAGGGATGGCTTACCTGCAATAAAACATTTTTTTGCAAACTCCTGCGTGGAAATTAACCTCACTGCAGCCCTCCACAATTGGGCCTGCCCATGAATGAGTAGCTGGCAAAGAGATACTTGCAGAGCTGACAATTCAGCTTCATGTATCACACCAAAGTACCTTCTCCATTTACAGGACACACACACACAGATTATTCTTAAATAGCAACTGCTCTCTGCTGTGTCAGGCCCTGTGCTAGGCTGCTGGGGGTTTTACTAATGATGTTTTTGCATATATGAACCAGAAGGGCAGCAAGGAAGACCCTGCTCAYTGTCTATCTAGAATGAAAGAGGTGAGGTGCATTCCCTGGGGGTGCACAAGACACTCACACCRCAGCACTGGTGCAGTGATGAACACACACCCCACTCCATACCAAAGGCACTCATTCCACTGCAGCAGCCACCACTTGGATTTGGAGTCTTGAACTGCTTTGGGCAGCCCAGCCAGCCCTGATTGCTTCCACTCCTGTGGCCTCCTCACCTCACTCTGTGCTCCTCTCAAGAGCAGCAAGGGAAGCAGCAGCACAGAGAGCTGCTACACGTGTACAATCAGGGAGAAAGCAAGGCCCAGGGGGAAGGGCAGGACAAAATCCTGCTGCAGYAGATACCATGGGAACATAAAAGAAGAGGAGTTACCATCCATACATGATGGTTTCTGCAGGTGGCTGGTGTCCTTCAGGGACAGGCACCCAGTTCACAGTGGGGTCATATCATCTGTAATCACTGGGTCAGGAAGAGAGAAAAGCAAGAGACCTATATCCATCTCCACCCATTCAACAGCCCATGAAAAAAACTCATTCAAATTGCTCAACAGGCTCTGCACAGACAGTAATTTCTGGTACTTTTGGGTCAGGGTAGCTACTACACAGAAAACAAATAGTACCATCCACCACCACGGCCTACAAGATGGCCAAAATCGCCTGCACTGACTCCACAAACACAGACAGGAAGAGACACACTCTTCACCAGTTACTGGGGCAAGTGAACAATCCGSGAAGCTCTGGGTGCATCCCTGAGTTCAGTGGTAATGCCTCGTCACCCCTGCTCTACCAGTCTGTGCACAGCTTGTTTCTCTCTCCTTTGTAGCTCATGTAAAATAAGAAAGCTCCATTTAGAAGAAGCTTTAGGCTGAGKGCAGTGACTCTGTTATGAGGAACTGCATCACAAGCAGCATAAGAATCTCCCTTCTTTCCCAAGCAAGCACTGACCTTACCAGATCCATCTGATCCCAAGCAYGGGAACACCGCACTGCTCCTTCCAGTTCTGGCAGTGTGGGAGTGTCATGATGGCCCGGACACTGACTGCAAACCTAAAGCATTCAGGTCAAACATGACCCTGGGCTACCTCTAAAAGCAAATGAACACAGAACTTGCTGCCATTTCAGGTTTCATTTAGGGCTGGTTGGGTTTTTTGAGGAGGAGGGGACAGAAATTTCAGAATGTAAACCAAGCTGTTTGAYCCCGTAGGTTGAAAGCCRAAGAAAAAACAAAAMCAAAAGAAACACAAACTTAAATGCACCTGACATTCAGGTGCTGAGGTGTCATCTCAGAAGGCTGTGCTCAGGCCTCCAGGACATGCTCTAAAATAAGAGATCTGCTGCTCCACAGCAACATGCCCTTCCTTTGAGGTGTAGAGTCACAGCAGGTTACAGTCACTGCAGTTTCAGACTCTAAGCATGATCTATCTTGATATTATAAAAAACCTCATCCAAAGGACTCCTTGAACATCTGCATTGCCTTCTGACTTCCTCAATTYAACYGTGCCATGTCTGCATTATAGCACTSAGTCCAGGAAAAATCCAGACATATGAGGGTGAGGCTGGCGCCCACTCATAATACAGAACACACTCATAATGCATTGTTCATGTCTGCTGCAGACTAGGAATAGCTCTCATTCTTCACTTGGCTGATCTACTTTTATATCCTTGATTCAAATGGAGTTATGCAAACTTCACGTTTGCCATCAGGCTATGAAGAAGCCTATTGTAACCAGGATATGCTTTTCTTAGATGTAAATGTACATGCAAAATAGAARGAGCTTTGATACAGAGATTTTTTCCCCCCTGAGGTTCAAGTATTTCATCATATTAATAATATTCCATTTTCCTTTTGTACTCATTTTAGAACATCTTTTGTATTAGCTCCGAGTATTATAATTCCTTCAAAATTCCTCTGGAGGGCACTATTACCATAACTATACAATTAGCTACAGCTGGATGTAATAAAGATAAACACTAAATAGCCTTGTTGGCAGGAGGCAGAGTGTCTTTTAACCAAGACAGCTTCTTTACTGCTGCCTGGGTTATTGCTCTGCTTTAGAGAGTATGGGAAACCTTAGTTACAAAGAGGAAGAGAGAATTTAGAAATTATAATTGTAGAAGTTTGCTTTGCAAAAAGGTGCTGTGCGTTTGTTTGTAGGGTATTTTTTTTCCTATCATCATCTTTGTTAGCAAGTATTAGAATTTGGTATAATCACTTCAAGGTTTTGTGAAAGTGGTATTTCCCAAGACAGAGGATGATTTGTGATATTTTGGGCAGGGAAGGGATGGAGGAAGTGATTCCATTGTGGATTCTTCCTGCTCTGTGAGATCTGTACTCCAATCTCTCCACAGTGCAGAGCAAGGTCAGCTCTTCCTCCAGGATTCAGAAAAGCCAGCRCAACACAAAGAGAGGGAGGGATGGKATTTCMGAGCTAGGAAAGAGATTATGACACACCAGCGTTTCTTAGAAGCTGCATGCTTTTTTTCAGAACTGAAAAGCAAATCAGAAGTGATCCTCGCAGGTCATAGGAAAACTTTTTTGAAACAGGAATAAACTCTTGAAAGCTTGGAAAGGTCAACTTGAAAGTGAACGCTTCTGTCTGATGCGGTCGCCCTCTTGTGGACACGGAGTAGATTGCAAAATCATTTTATCTGCTCAGAGGTTTCTTAAGGTAAAACCAGGGGTGAACTGCGATCCTGAGCTCCGGGTTTCATTTGTTTTGCGGGAGAGTGGTTGTGTAGGAATATTCCCTCCTGCATTTTCTAGGAAGCATTTCCTATACATCACTATGTACAGCAAAAATATTTTCTTAATTTTTCTTTTACCRCTTCCTCTTGTTCCTTTTCCTTTTATGACTTGCACAGATAGTTAYTTCATCTTTTTACAATTAGACTAGAAATTATTTGAGCAGGTGAAATACTTGTGTGAGAGTTATGAWGGTCCTGGGATATTATAACATGTAGAAAAAAAAATTAAATATACTGATACAGTGTGGTATTAATTAGGTCATCAAACAAAGAAGAGAAGAAAGGGTATATTCCAGTTATGCAGTTATGGAAGGAATTATGTATAACAATCTAATATCACTGATAAATAATCAGCAGAATAAAAAAAAAAAAAAGAGTAAAAGCTATTAAATAAATAGATGTTTTGAATTGTTGTGAATTTAAGTTTTGGATCTGCATTGGTATTTTTAATTCACAAAGATTATCCTTGCTCATTTTCATTGATTTCTTCCTCATTTCAGCCTGAACTCTCCTTTACTTGTTATAATCTAATTAAAATACAGTTCCCATACCTGTGCTTTATTTCAGGATCTTTCCTCTTTCATAGTATCTGCATTTCCACACCAAACACTCACAGCTTCTCCTCTTAATCACTACTCTCCAAT